TCAAACCATTTATTTACCTCCCATTCTTGAACACCCGTGCATAGAGTGCAGTTAATAATCAGCTGCTGCGTTTTCTGCGCAACTTGCTGACTAAAGCTAAACAACCCTGAAGCTGCGTCGTAGTCGTTGTCCACCTGTAAAAGCATGAACTAAGATTGTCTCAAGCTCCAGAAGTAATTGTGACAGTGCCCTGACACTTTGGCACTAGTCCCAGTAGCAGGTAAAAATCTGCTTATGAAATTTTGTAAAAATTACTTACATCGCTAAGCATGAACGTTCGCTTGAATGCTTCACGGGCCTCCATGTCTCTCCCATCGGATTTGCTTGACATGTCCTCCCACACGTAGACAGTTTGATTCCCAGTGTTAGCTAACCCTAAAGCAAGTACCTTACAACCTTAATGTTAGTGACAACCAGTCTCCGTCAGCTTACTGTATCCAGAATCCAGTAAGTCGGCAAAAATATAGACATATTCATCATTTAGCATATTCTGGTCCTTAGCAGCGAGCATAAACGTTCGCTTATTTTCTGGTTTTGATAGGCAAACAACGATTACTGGAACAGACTTTGTTACTAAAGCGTAGTAGTTTGAAAGATTAAGCATAACATTCAATACATTACTGAAAGATCCCTGCTTATTTATAGTGAGAATAATTGATAGAATCATAGACAAACTTCTGGCTTGTGAGTTTGTCTGATTTAATGCATCGGAGATTTCTGAGTGGGACATGTCTCTCATCTCGGCAATGTTTGAAATGCTGAAGTCCTCATTTCGAAAGACCGCTTTCTAGAATAGTCGAAGTATTTTAGGCTCCTCCTGATATATTCATTCACCTGGACATCCGCTAAGAATATTGGGCATTTCTGTGCATCTTCACTGGCTACATAGATGAATGCGAACGAGTTCCACTGGAAGTGCTCCATTACGCTCAAAAGCGCTAAGCTTAGCCTGTGGAAACAAAATTTTCAGGGTGCTATAATTTCTATAAATTGCTGAAGTTTTGACGACTTACGTCAAATAGTTTGGTGTGAGGACGATGCAGGTAGGAAAGCGCACAGTGTCAGCGAGCTCATTAGCTGTAGTGAATCCCCAAGTGTAAAGTGGTATATTGTAGAAAGCAGTAACGGCTGCGACGGCAATTGCAGCTATTTTTTTATATTTATATTATTACAAAAGCTAGTATGGTTTTACGGCTACTCACGGACGTTACAAGTAGGTCCAATAATTACATCGACGTTAAAGTCGCGAATCAGTTCGATGGCATAACCAACTGCGTATTTTTCCACGCAATCCCCGTAACGCGCGGTGACGCTGAATCAAAATAATGGTTCGCTTCCATTTGGAAATGTATTTCCTTACTTGAAGTCATAACCATCGAGAAGGTGATTCTGACGAATTGCGTCAATAGCCACATAGAGAGCTCCAATGCTACCATTATAGCCAATATACGGAGTGTAACTTGAAAATTCGAGCACAGAGATAGCGACACAGTTAGTATCAAAACACAATT